TTAGGGTTTTTTATGTACAATATCATGTCATCTGCAAATAGTGACAGTTTAACTTCTTTTTAGCAATATGGATTCCTTGTACTTTTTGTTTTCTCTAATTGCTGTGTCTAGGACCTCCAGTACTATGTTGAATAAGAGTGGGGATAGTGGGCATCCCTGTCTTTTTCCCAATCACAGAAGAAAAGCTTTCAGCTTCTCACTGTTCAGTATGATGTTGGCTGTGGGTTTATCATATATGGCCTTTATTATGTTGAGGTACTTGCCCTCTATACCCATTTTGTTGAGAGTTTTTATCATGAATGGATGTTGAATTTTGTCAAATGCTTTTTCAGCGTCTATGGAGATGATCATGTGGATTTTGTCCTTCTGTTTGTTGATGTGGTGGATGATGTTGATGGATTTTCGAATGTTGTACCATCCTTACATCTCTGAGATGAATCCCGCTTGGTCATGGTGTATGATCCTTTTGATGTATTTTTGAATTCGGTTTGATAATATTTTGTTGAGTATTTTTGCATCTGTGTTCATCAGGGATATTGGTCTGTAATTTTCTTTTTTAGTGGGGTCTTCGCCTGGTTTTGGTTTTAGGGCGATATTGGCTTTATAGAATGAGTTTGGGAGTATTCCCTCCTCTTCTATTTTTTGGAAAACTTTAAGGAGAATGGGTATTATGTCTTCTCTATATGTCTGGTAAAATTCAGTGGTGAATCCATCTGGCCCAGGACTTTTGTTCTTTGGTAGTTTTTTGATTACTGATTCAATTTCATTGCTGGTAATTGGTCTGTTTAGATTTTCTGTTTCTTCCTTGGTCATTCTTGGAAGGTTGTATTTTTCTAGGAAGTTGTCCATTTCTTCTAGGTTTTCCAGCTTGTTAGCATATAGGTTTTCATAGTATTCTCTAATAATTATTTATATTTCTGTGGGGTCCATCATGATTTTTCCTTTCTTGTTTCTCATTCTGTTGATATGTGTTGATTCTCTTTTTCTCATAATAGGTCTGGCTAGAGGCTTATCTATTTTGTTTATTTTCTCAGAGAACCAGCTCTTGGTTTCATTGATTTGTTTCTATTGTTTTATTCTTCTCAGTTTTATTTATTTCTTCTCTGATCTTTATTATGTCCCTCCTTGTGCTGACTTTAGGCCTCATTTGCTCTTCTTTTACCAGTTTCGAAAATTTTGACTTTAGACTATTCATTTGAGATTGTTCTTCCTTCTTTAAATATGCCTGGATTGCTATATACTTTCCTGTTAAGACTGGTTTCACTGTGTCCCACAGAAGTTGGGGCTTTGTGTTGTTGTCATTTGTTTTCATATATTGCTTGATCTCTATTTTAATTTGGTTGTTGATCCACTGACTTTTTATGAGCATGTTGTTAAGCTTCCATGTGTTTGTGAGCCTTTTTGTTTTCTTTGTACAATTTATTTCTAGTTTTATACCTTTGTGGTCTGAAAAGTTGGATGGTAGAATTTCAATCGTTTGGAATTTACTGAGGCTCTTTTTGTGGCCTAGTATGTGATATATTCTGGAGAATGTTCCATGTGCACTTGAGAAAAATGTATATCCTTTTGCTTTTGGATGTCGAGTTCTATAGATGTTTATTAGGTCCGTATGTTATAGTGTGTTGTTCTGCGCCTCCATGTCCTTACTTATTTTCTGTCTGGTGGATCTATCCTTTGGAGTGAGTGGTGTGTTGAAGTCTCCTAAAATGAATACATTGCATTCTATTTCCTCCTTTAATTCTCTTTGTATTTGTTTCACTATATTGCTCCTATATTGGGTCCATATATATTTATAATGGTTATATCCTCTTGTTGGACTGAGCCCTTCATTATTATGTAATGTCCTTCTTTATCTCTTGTTGCTTTCTTTGTTTTGAAGTCTATTTTGTCTGATACTAGTACTGCAACACTTGCTTTTTTCTTCCTGTTGTTTGCATGAAATATCTTTTTCTATCTCTTGACTTTTAGTCTGTGCATGTCTTTAGTTTTTAGGTGTATCTCTTGTAAACAGCATATGGATGGGTCTTGCTTTTTTATCCATTCTATTACTCTGTGTCTTTTGATTGGTGCATTCAGTCCATTTACATTTATTGAAAGATATGTACTTATTGCCATTGCAAACTTTAGATTCATGGTTAGCGAAAGTTCAAGGTTAGCTCTTTACTATCTTACTGTCTAACTTAACTTGCTTATTGAGCTATTATAAACACTGTCTGATGTTTCTTTATTTCTCTCCATTGTTATTCCTCCATCTCCATTCTTTGTATGTTGGGTGTTTTATTCTGTGCTCTTTCGTGTTTCCTTTGACTGCTTTTGTGAGTAGTTGATGTTATTTTTTGCCTTTAGTTAGTATTTGATTGGTCTGCTTTCTTTGCTGTGATTTTATTTTCTCTGGTGACATCTATTTAGCCTTAGGAGTGCTCCCATTTAGAGGAGTCCCTCTAAGATACCCTGTAGACATGGTTTGTGGGAGGCAAATTCCCTCAACTTTTGCTTGTTTGGGAATTATTTAATCTCTCCTTCATATTTAAATGATAATCGAGGTGGATACAGTATCCTTGGTTCAAGGCCCTTCTGTTTCATTGCATTGAGTATATCATGCCATTCTCTTTTGGCCTGTAAGGTTTCTGTTGAGAAGTCTGATGATAGCCTGATGGGTTTTCCTTTTTAGGTAACCTTTTTCCTCTCTCTAGCTGCCATTAAAACTCTGTTCTTGTCCTTGATCTTTGCCATTTAATTATTATGTGTCTTGGTTTTGTCCTCCTTGGGTCCCTGTTTTTGGGACTTCTGTGTGCTACCGTTGTCTGAACGACTATTTCCTCTCCCATTTTGGGGAAGTTTTCAGCAATTATTTCTTCAAATACTCTTTCTATCCCTTTTTCTCTCTCTTCTTCTTCTGGTACCCCTATAATGCAGATATTGTTCCTTTTGGATTGGTCACACAGTTCTCTTAATATTGTTTCATTCCTGGAGATCCTTTTATCTCTCTCTGCATCAGTTTCTATGTGTTCCTGTTCTCTGGTTTCTATTCCATTTATGTCCTCTTGCATCTCATGCATTCTCCTTTTAAGTCCTTCCAGAGATTGTTTTATTTCTGTTGTCTCCCTCCCTACTTTGTCAGTTAGCCTCCTGCATTTTTCTCTGCAGCTCCATCAGCATGGTTATGACCTTTATTTTGAATTTTTTTTCAGGAAGATTGGTTAGATCTATTTCCCCAGTTTCCCTCTCAGGGGAGGATGTCTGTGTGATTCTGGTCTGTATCAAATTCTTCTGCCTTTTCATGGCAATAGAGGTAGTTATGGTGAGTTGGAATGTGTGTCAGCTGGGAGAACATCCCTTCTTGCTAGTTTGTTGCCTTCCTCTCCTATGAGAATGGTGGCTCCTAGCAGCTTGTGCTGGGCAGGTGTGCACAGATGGGGTCTCTGATTCTTGCCTGGCTGCTGTGCAGTAAGCTCCGCTTGGTTGCTGTGGTCATGGCCTGCCTCAGGCTGCTGCCCTTCTATGGCGGGTCCACGTCGGGTGGGGGGAACAGGTGGGAGGCTGTTTATCACCCTGAGGGACCTCAGAGCTGCACTGCTGCCCTGAGGGTTAGGGTGCCTGGAGTTTCCTGGGATTCCCAGCTGCTAGGCTGAGTGCGCCGGAATGCTTCCTTCCAGGTGTGAGGCCCCTGTCCCTTTAAGACTTGCAAAAACCACTCGCTTTTCTTTTGTCTCAGGGGTGCCAGCTGTGGGGACCCGCTTGCAGGTTTTACTGTCTCATTTCCCTAGTATCCAGCACCCCACGCACTGTGTGTCTGCGCTCCCGGTGCAGATGGCTAGGGCTGGATATTTAACAGTCCTGGGTTCCCTCTTCCTCCCCGCTCCGACTCCTCTCTTCCAGCTGGGGAGCTGGGGTGAGGGGCACTCGGATCCTGCTGGGCCGTGGCTTGTATCTTAGCCCCTTTGTGAGGTGCTTGGCTCTCACAGATGAAGATGTAGTCTGGCTGTTGTACTTTGTCTTCTGGTCTCTCCTTTAGGAATAGTTGTATTTGTTATATTTTCAAAAATATATATGGTTTTGGGTGGAGATTTCCACTGCTCTACTCATGCCATAATTTTGGCTCCACCTTCCAACTTATTTATTTCATAACTGGAAGTTTGTACCTCTTTATCCCCTTCACCTGTTTTGCCCATTCCCCTACTCCCTCCCCTCTGACAGCCACCAGTTTGTTCTCTGTATTTATTAATCTGTTTGTTTTGTTTTTTAGATTCTACATATAAGTGTAATCATATGGTATTTGTCTTTGTCTGACTCATTTCACTTAGCATGATATCCTCTAGGTCCTATTAGTAATTTTAAATGAATAAATATTTAATTTTCTTGTTTAATATAGTAAATATTGATAGCTGTAGCCCACAAAATTAAAGCTTACTGGGGGCCTCAATAATTTTTAGGACTATAAAGAGTCCTGAGATCAAACATTTGAGTACCACAGATCTGGAGGGTAGCTGATTACTGGATGCCTAAGAAATGTGAAGACCATGAGAAGTGTAATTGTGTATAGTGTGTCATAAACGAAGACTTTCATTATTCCACAAACCTTTACTAGAGTCTTCTCTGTGCCCTGACCCTATGCTGGGTTCTGGGAGCAAAATGGTCAATTAAAATCAGTTTCTGCCTTCAAAGAGATTTCAACCCACAAGTGGAGCCAAATCACATTAGTTGTGATTATTTTTTTAGGTTCTGTAGTACAGGTATTTTCAGAGTGTGATGGGGTTGCAGTGGGAAGCAGTGTTTCAGTACAGTGTTATTAGAATCAAGCATTATATCATACCTCATTCAGATTAGGAGATTGCCATTTTCCTTTGTGCCATAGACAGACAGCTCTTGTCTTTGACTCCCTTACTGTCTCCCAAACCACCATGTCCTACCAAGGATAGGAATTGTCTTTACAAATTTGTTATCAACAGCCTAAAGTCAGAAACTGAAACTAATTTATATGCTTTTGGCTCACTTTTTAGTGACTGTACTGGCGATATTTAATGAACTGCATGCAGATGTGGACCTTTATGCACTTCTGTTTGGAGAAAGTGTCCTAAATGATGCTGTTGCCATTGTACTGTCCTCGTAAGTAACAATATTTCTGCTTGAGAAGAGAAACTCTGGCTTCCTGAATGCTCTGGGCTAAATTCAGAAGCCCATCTTAAAGTGTTAAATATTGAATTGGGTATTTTTCTAAATGAGGTTTGTCCACTTGTTGATAAAATTATGTTGCTTTGTCCAGTTGGTAGTGATCTAAATGTTGGTAAACAGCATAACATGGTGCCTGCAGATTAAATTAAATACATACACTATGGGTCATGCTCAGCAGAGTGTAGATAGCTACAGTTGTCTGTATTTTTAGGTACTGTGGTGTAAAACCCTCACAGTCTTGTAACTCTCTCTTCTTTTTTTAACTCCAGGTCTATTGTTGCCTACCAGCCAGCAGTGCTGAACACTCATGCCTTTGATGCTGCTGCCTTTTTTAAGTCAGTTGGCATTTTCCTAGGTATATTTAGTGGCTCTTTCACCATGGGAGCTGTGACTGGTGTGGTGACTGCTCTAATATCCTTTTTGCAGTTTCTGTCCCTGCCTGGGTATGACTATGTGACATTACACTTGCCAAAATAAAGTTCTCAGTTCTTCCTTTCAGAAATGAAAATCAAATAAATTGTTCCACTGCAGTTTAAGGGCTCCTGAAATGTGTCCCTTTGGGAAAACATGACAGTCAAGTGCCTGGCTACCTAAGAGTCTGAGAAAATGTTTGGAAGTGTAACTCAAGGCTTAGCTCAGTCCTTTGCATTTTCTCTTCCTCTTAAGAATTGGTTAGAGATGGGAGCTTGGGGGAAGCATCAGTTTTGGGGGCAGTGCGTGCAAAGAGCTGCAGAGCCAGGTGGAGCCTGGGAATCAGGGGCCACCACACAGGAAGCCAGGAGGAAGCAGACCAGAAGTACTTTAGCCCCAGGCTTGCTGCTCTTGTTTGTTCTAGACCCTACAGGGCTAACATGGCCACAGCTAGTTGGGGACCATCAGTGCAAATTACTGCAAGGTGGCCTTCCTTAAGCAAAGGATTGGACAGTATTTACTTAGCAACCAACTAACCAACCAACCAGCCAACCAACAAACATAAAAGCAAAGTGTAGAACAAGTAGGCCACCCCTCCACATGAGTACTGAGTCCTTCAGTACATCTTTTGATGGCATTTAGATCACCACTGTACACCCAGGGTACACCCTGTGCAAATGTAATAGGAGCTGCAGATGTGAGCCCCATCATTTCAGCCTGCAACCACTCTACAAATTATTAATGACATTTTATATGTTCTGTTTTTGTACTAAATCTTTGAACTATGGTATGTATTTTGCTCTGCCAGCACATCTCAGTTTGGACTAGCCACATTTTAAGTGTACAGTAGCAGCATGTGCCTAGCAGCTACCATTTTGGACAGTGCAGATTTAGCTTACTTCAAAAAGGCCCCTTTGATGCCCTGGGAACTTATATTTTTCAGTGAAACACTCATGAGATGGTTCCAGGCTGACCTGCCATGGAATGGCAGTGTTAGGAGAGGACTCTCTGTCCCAAAAGGTGAAACACCTTGTAGTTGCCCCTGGAGTTGTGTCTTCCTTCCTTCCTTCCTCCCTCCCTCCCTCCTTCCTCCCTCCCTCCTTCCTCCCCTCCCCTCCCCTCCCCTCCCCTTCCCTTCCCCTATTCCTTCCTTCCCCTATTCCTTTCCTTCCTCTTCCCTTCCCTTCCCTTCCCTTCCATTCCCTCCCCTCCCCTTCCCTTCCCCTATTCCTTCCTTCCCCTATTCCTTCCTTCCCCTATTCCTTTCCTTCCTCTTTCCTTCCTTATCATACATTCATTACATACCTGTTGTGGACTCAGGTCATAGTGGCCCACAGAGGTCAGAGTCTCACCTGTCTTCCCAGGCCTGCCTGACAGCACTGCCAGAGCTGACCTGTCAACACCTCAAGCCAACACTGCACGTCTCAGAGCCGTGGGTATTGCAAGGGGCACAGAAAACTATTCCCAGTTACTTTGGAAAGTTTACTTTTTAAAAAACATCTTTATTGAGATAAATTCACATACCATGCAATTTACCTACCTGAGGTGTATAATTCAAATGGTTTTTCGTATGTTATAATTTATTTAATGTGACAAAAAATATATAACATAAAATTTGCCATTTGACCATTTCTAAGTATACAGTTCAGTGGCATTAAGTACATCCACCGTGTTTATAACCATCCCCACTATTGATCTCTAGACCTTTTTCATCTTCTCAAACAGAAATGGTCTCCTCTTCCTAACCTTTCCCAGCTCTTGGTAACCAATATTCTATTCTATTGGAAAGTTTAATTTTTTATTACTTTAAAAACCAAGCAGCAGCTTTGTGGACCCAAAAGAAGAGTTGAAGGGAAAGGATAGCCCTACGGAGAGGGTTCTGGGCTACTGGAGTGTGGTTCTTGGTGACCCAGTTGCTTGTTCCTGGAGGCAAGTTCCTTGACCGGGGCTGACGTGACCAAGTTCACTAAGCTACACTGCTTCCCCCTGCTGGAGACGGCACTCTTCTTCCTGATGTCCTGGAGCACATTCCTCTTGGCAGAAGCCTGTGGGTTTACAGGTGGGTTTTAGGCTGTAGATGGGGCTGTGGGAGCTCAAGGGAAGAATTCTTAAACAGCAGTTACGTGGAGGTGATACTGTTCACAGTGTCCATATGGAGGTTTGCTGAGCAAGGCCGTTGTTTTGCCCTAGGAATAATTTAACTTCCCAAGCTACATGTTTTTAAAGGATAAGATTTACTGTTTCAAACTCAAGTTATGTCTTTGAGTACTTATTCTAACGGTAAGTAGAAGTTTAGCTGCAAAGGTTACTGAACATATTAACGTCTTACTTGTATCCTCCCTTAGATTTCTTCATTTTTCAAACAGTAGCAATAACAAGCACAATATATCCTTTTAAAGGCCCTTTTGTATCTACTCAGATGAGTGTGAATGAACACAGTTTTTCCTTGTTTTGTCTCTGGTCATTGTTTTTCAACACCATGTTTTATGGTGCCAGTTTCATGTATTATTAGTGTGAGTAATCATCTGGTTTATGTTTCTCACATTCTCTCATTAAAAATAAGCAATCACTGAATTTTTCCACCGGAAAAGTACAATTAACTATACATAACCCATTTAGTTAAGAATCATCTTTTCAAAATACTGCAACATATCTTTATATATATAGCATATTATTATATATATTATTAGTGTGAGTAATCATCTGGTTTCTCACATTCTCTCATTAAAAATAAGTAATCACTGAATTTTCCACCGGAAAAGTACAATTAACTATACATAATCCATTTAGTTATGAATCATCTTTTCAAAATACTGCAACGTATCTTTATATATAGCATTATACAATGCCCCACTTCCTTGAAACTTGACAGTTATCTGTACATGTGTAGGCAAAGTCTCAGGTATGTTAGTTGTTTTACACAACAAAATCTTTACCATTAACCAGAAACCTAGATCATCAGGTCTTGGATAAATGGAATGATACTCTGGATCCATTTTGTCTGAAGCACTAGACCATGCAAAAATATAAAGCATTGGTTTGAAATTAAATTTTTGAAATTAAAATTTTTAAGAACAAAGAGGAATATGACAAACACAAAAGACAAGTCCTCACAGTCTTTTTGAGGGAATGAATGCTAAATGCCAAACTCAAGTAGGAGTTGGGAGGAAGGGAAAGAATGCCCTTAAAACTGGAGCAAGGGGGGAAGTCAGGGACCTTGGCTTCAAAGAAGGGCAGAGTTGGGAGAGGGAAGGTTGTATGAGTGATGGGGGCAGAGGGAGATTTCAGGGGTAACTTTCAAACTATTCAGGAAATTAGATATGCTGGGCTTGCCTACTTTAACTTTTTGTTTCTGCAGGGATTGTTCCCTGCTTCTTTATTTTTCCCCATTGATTTTTTTCCTTTTAATCTCTCACCAGGTGTTGTGGCTGTCCTTTTCTGTGGAATCACACAGGCTCATTACACCTACAACAATCTGTCAGTGGAATCGAGAAGTCGAACGAAGCAGGTGAGAGGGAGCCCTGGGTCCTCTCAACTTATCTGTGACTGCAAGGGGGGCACCCACAGGGTTTATGGCTTTCCTTTCTCTTTCCATGCAGCTCTTTGAGGTGTTACACTTCCTGGCAGAGAACTTCATCTTCTCCTACATGGGCCTGGCGCTGTTTACCTTCCAGAAGCACGTTTTCAGCCCCATTTTCATTATTGGAGCTTTTGTATCCTTTTTGGGTTCTACCATTTTCTACACAAAGGCAACCACTGCTGGGGAAGCTATAATAAAAATAATAACTTATGTTTTGGGGGTGGCAAGTGACTGAGCCAGCAGTAGTTTGTGGTGTTTTCATGATGAGAAAAAAGAAGGCTGATGTGGTTATAAAGCTTAGTGCATTTGATTTTAGGATTGGTGCTGATCCCAGGCTGTTCTTCCTATGTTTTCTGTGTAAGGTGGCCTTTGTGTGATGCAGATGCTGGGCAGGTAGTAGTTTGTTTTGTAAAGCACCCCTCTCAGCATATCTGTAAGTTAGTTGGCCACCATGTCAGCCCTAGAATTATTTCATTGCTGCATGAATTCCAATCCACTACTCACCCCATTTGGAAGACCTGAAGGTTCTACCACTTTTGCTGTTTACTGGTGTGGGCAACTCCTCCTCACACCACCCGGGGAAGGCCGCAGGCAGTGAGTAAGCTTTCCCCTGAGCTTCCCTGCTGCTACAGATCACAGTGGGAAACACTCCTTTTTTCCCCCAAAAAGTGAAAGGAGAGGAAGAAGAGAAAAAAATGGAAAAACACTTGGTTCCTTGATTTAGTTCCATTGTGAGCACAGTTTTGGGAAAAGAAGCACTGTTTTGGGGTTGGCTTCTCTCAAGTAAGGAGGGATGTGCATGCCAGCAGTGGATCAACAGCTGAGGGCCTGCTTTCTTGGCCTCAAATCATATTGTTTTCATTAAAGTGAACTTTTCTGGGGCTTAGAAGTGTAGGACTCCAGCTCAACTGGATTTTCAACATACTGAGCAGGCATCCCCTATTGCTGGACATTCTGTTTTGCCTTTTCTGAGGCCTCATGGGTATCCTTAGGTGGGATGCTGACAAAAAAAGGAGTGTTTTTCTCTTCTGGGCCAGAGTCCATCCAGTTACAGTGGTATCTGCTTCAACTTGGGCTCATTTCTTAGACGTGCACACTCAACAGACTCGCAGATAAAAATCTGGGGGATTAGTGTTTTCACTCCTGACTTAAGAGACCTTACATGTCCTTTTGCTTTGTATTCCTAGCCTGGTGTCCTGTGAGAGAGCGTGCAAGAGCACAGCCCTTGTTACAGACGAGCGCCTTGTGGGAGGGCCAGCCAGGTCCTCTGTGAGTCCTGAAGGCTGCTTACCACTTGAGGAATTTTGCATATGGCCTCTGGGATATAATGTGCTTTATAAGTACTACTTGTTAACTTCTGTTAAAAGACAAAACAAAGAAAAAGAAGGATAAAAGAAGAAAAATCGTTAGTACTTTACCCTGGAACAGGCAGAAGGTAGTTCGGTCCTCACTTCTGTCTGAAACAGCTGCAGCCAGCAGCTGCTGCTTTGCCTAAACGGAAGCTCCCTTTTCTCTGGCTCCCAAGGCGGCTGGCTTCCTTCTGTGACTAGGGCAGTGTGCATCTCTGTTGGGCTCTTTTCTAAACTCAGCAAGTGATGAATGACCTGTTTCCCTGAATTCTTCAGTCTCCACAGTTGAGTTCCTTTTCCACAGTCCTTTTCCATTTCTTTCATTCATATCCAAAAGACATTTAAGCTGCTTAGGTATGGAAATCTCCCCAGACTGATTCTTTTGAGGGATGTGAATGTGTATTAGTGTCATGAATACTTTAAGTTTCCCCACCTCTTATTTGTAGGGTCTTTCTGGTTATTCAAGCCCCAGATGTTTACTTCCAACTGAAGCTTATGAGCTCTTACCAGCACACTTTCTCTTTATAGTTTGACTCAGGGGTTAGTAATTTTTATCATCTTGTGATTTTTCTTCCAATAGAGTCTAACACGCTATTTGCTTCTCTCAATTCTTCATCCCTACCATGGTCCCTTAGCTTATTTCTGGACTCATTTTTAGATGGATTGGAGACTTGGTCCATACAGGTTTAATTAAATCAAGAGGTTACAACTAATGCCGGGGTTCTTGTTCATGAAGCTGAAGAATGAGCAAGGTACAGGCTTTTATTTAGAAATAAAGTGAGAGAATAGAGCTCCTGGCTCATGCCAGGAGGGGACAAGAGAGCCCATAGTGGTGTGTTGTCTAGGGGGTTTTATAGGCAGTTGAGGATTTTTTGAGAACATGAAAAAAACTTAGGGGTGTGGACTTGCATCACCTGCCCTGTCCTCAAGGTGGGCTGGGTTGTAGTCTGGTTGCTAGGGCTGACAGTGGAGTCAGGGGTTATGCTGATACCCTTGCAGAACACTCAAACATTCCAGGCTCAGTTACTCCTGGCTTTTTGACCTTTAACTGATCTCACTGAAGATGTCTATATTCTTAGGTATCTTTCTCTAGAGAATTAGTGTGACCTTGACTTTGCGTAATGCTTAACAGAGTTTCAATGGGGACTTCTTTGCCCATTATTACATTGCTCTGACTGTAAATATTCCACCCTGCTTTTCCTGGAGGCCCTCACCCTACTCTGACTACACCCATGGTCCCTGTCTCACAACATCGCATTTAACAGCCTAGAAATGATCTCTACGAACCAGGAGTTTGAGTAAGTTGGCCAATTGAATCCCTCTTGTTGCTGAGACTTCTTTAGAAGGAAACTAGACAGTCTGGCTGCATTGGGCAACTCTCCTGATTATAATGAGGTGCTCCTAACGTTCTTTGTTCAACCTAAGGTTGTGTGAAAGTGCCATTCTGGAAACCTGTTGGGCCTTAACCTCCACCTGGTGCTCAGGTTGCCATCTTCCTGGGAAGAGCTGCACATATCTACCCACTCTCCTTCTTCCTCAACTTGGGCAGAAGACATAAGATTGGCTGGAATTTTCAACACATGATGATGTTTTCAGGTAAAAAAATATGAATGTAAAGAAAATGAGTTTTCTTCAGCAGGCAGTGCTCGTATGATTAAATATAATTGATCAGGTTCATAAAAAGACAGAAAATTCAAGTCTTTGGTTCCTTGGTCTCACCTACAGTGCTGAGTAGACAGATGTACATGTTAAATGGGGTTAATAATTGCTTTTGCAAACCATATTACCAAATGTGAACATTCTCCCCTAAAATATTTGCATCATCATTTTATCTTTACCATCTAAGGGCCCTGGAGATATGTAAGTATTTAAAGTGCTTGTTTTTTTAATTTTTATTTATTTATTTTTAAAATTTTGGTATCATTAATGTACAATTACTTAAACAACATTATGGTTACTAGACTCCCCCTACTGTCAAGTCCCCCCCACATACCCCATTACAGTCACTGTCTATCAGCATAGTAAGATGCTATAGAATCATTACTTGTCCTCTCTGTATATACCGCCCTTCCCATGTCCCCCCTGGTACATTATGTGTGCTAATCATAATAGTGCTTGTTTGTTTTATAATAGATGATCATAACCCTTAATCTTTCAGAAGGGCCCCAGACCTAAAATGAGAAGGAAAATAGGTCTTTAATGAGAAAGAACTGGGCCAAGTCACTCAACACCTCCCAGCTGTGGTATCTTCTCTTGTAAAATAATTAGTTGAGGTTTCTCCTAGCTTCAACTTTCTATGAAGCAAAAGAAATAAAATACAGTCATAGAAGATAACAGCTGTGATGGGTCTGCTTGCTTGATATTTGATTCACACTGTCTCCCAGATGCTTCCCTCTTAACTGTAAAGCTGAGTAGTGTGGAGAAGGCACTGAGGGGATAAGGGACAGTAAAGAAGTAAGTGGAGGTTAAGAAAGGAAAGAGCAGTTTGCATGAGTAGATGATGCAGTGAGTGTGGTAAGCATCAGACTTTCTAGGTGAGGATCAAGAAGAGATGGTAGGACAGAAGGCCACTGTGACCCTTAAAGATACCTCTGTCCTGTGTGGGGGGTGGGGGGGCTGTGTAAGAGGCAGAGTGACTAGTAGCCCTTTTTGTCCACATAGTAGCTCTTGGGGACCTCAGAGTTACACTGAAATCACACCAGTGGTAGATCTTGGGGACCTCAGAGTTATACTGTAATCACACCAGTGGGCAGTGCTCAGCAAAGCAGTCCCTGTGTCAAGCACTCACTTGCATCTGCACTGAACTATCCAGCCTGCCATACTGATTTCCTTCCACCCTGACAAACATTTGTTGAGCATCCTCTATTTATAAGCCTCGTTTCTAGGTTGTGGAGGATAGGCCAGCCTCCTTCAAGGAGCTCACAGTCCACGGTGGGGGAGGAGGGAGTACAAAGAGCCCACTTTCTGCAAAGAGGGTGAATTACAAAGGAGGTATGGAATAAGTGCTGAGAAGAGTAGGGCCCAGGGCCATTTTTATCAAGGGGGTGTAGCTTTCCAACTGTGGTAGAAATGGGTTTCAGGAGGTGTCAGGTTGGAAAGGCAGGGAAGTATTGCCATATATGGCTTCTTCAGGGAAGGGAGCAGTCTGGTTTAAACATAAGACATGTGGGGTAATGCAGAAAGAGGGTGAGGTTGGACAGGACGATTGCATCTAAACTGGCTTGCACCTTTAGGTTGCATCAGAATCAGCTGCTTAGAGCTGATTGCTGACCCCACTGCCAAATGCAATTCTGCGGTGTGGAGTGGGCCCCAAAAATTTGCATTTCTAAAGTGTTCTCTGATGCTGCTGCTGCTTGTGGTGGTGGTGGTTTGAGGAGCACACTTTGAGAACCACTGCTGAAATCTAGAGCGCAAAGCTCCAATGCTGTGCCAAAGAGTTTGGGCTCTACTTAAGAGCATTTGGGAAACAGGAGAGGTTTCTGCAGAGGGCAATGACAAGATCCCCCTTACGTGCTAGGGAAATACTGCTGCAAAACAGAAAGAGGACTGGAGATAACTTGGTCACCTAGATAAAATATATTCACCATCTTTACCAAAACACTGAGAAGTACACAGTGCTGTTTAAAGACATCTACAAAAGTTATTTCCTGCTGGGAGAAATCTGGCTGTGGAATGGGACTCATCTTCATGGCTGTGAAATACGTGAGACTTTGCTTTCATATTGCTTACAGTGTTTACCTTTATAATTATAAGGAACAATGTGACACACATTGTCTCTCTCTGACCCCCATGATTTCTTCTTTGAGACAGCATCCCTTTAGATGCTTCAGTATTGATTGCTGACATAGCTGGTTGTAGGGTGATCTAGAAATGTAAAAATATTTCACTAGGGCAGATTAATAGAAAACATTAAATTTGCTCTGCTTTTTTATGTAACTTTTATTGAGACATTCTTCTCTACTGAATGGTAGCAAAGTTCTCAGATTAGTGAACTTGCAAAATTATTAGGAAAGGTGGGAAAATATACGAACAGATACAGTGGGTCTAAGTTTTCATTCTCTAATATACACACAATCTTGCCCGTGGTGAATAGGAATTCATACTACATATCTACTAAACACTGTGGATTCAGTCTTTACTATAGAACAAATTACAAGCATGGTATGGGGAAGGAGTAAAAGAACTGAGAAAGATTAAACTCTAAATCATTAAAATATGGGTGCTTATTATTAACACCTGTTAATGTAGATCAGCGTCAGCAAACTACAGCTCTGGGGCCAAATCTGGTTTCTGCCTATTTTCATATACTCCATGGGCTAAGAATGGCTTGTAGAGATGAATATTTATAATCTATCTGATGATAGCAGTTACTAACTTTGAAACTTAATTAAGCAAAATATACTCCCCAGAAGAATTCCATTCTTTTCATCATCAGAACTGTATTAGAACAAACTCTACTCACTCGTTGTTATTATGTTCTTGGGTTTTGTCTATTAAATGTTGTGAAAATTTGTTTTCTTTCTTTTATGTAAGTGCCTACATAATATCTTTAATTTTCCTCTTGGCCCACAAAGCCTAAAATATTTCATAGCTGACCTTTATGGAAAAAGTTGCCAACCCCTGATGTGGACCAGGTTATATTGTTACTACTTTGTGTGGCTTTGCTAAGGAAATGCTGAACTGTTTTGTGGTTCATGGTTCATGAGCCACAAAAATGCATTTGACATATTTGTATCTTGCCTTTTATTAAGTTTATAATGACTGTACAGTGTTTGGGGCAGAGACTTAGAGAATTTATATTATTATTTGTGATGTGTATTTCCTTTTATTTCCTGTTACTAGCAGGAGAATTATTTCAGTAATAAAAGATGATTATTCCAAAATGTGCTGTACAAAGTAGTGCAGTGTTTTTCTCACTGCATTTAGACATTTAACAAAAGCAGGCTTCATGTAGAGAGAGCAAATCATATTCCTTTTAAGGTTCTTCTTTTAGAACAAAACAACTTGACTCTCAAAGCATTTTTTTTGTTTTTGTTTTTATTAAGGTATCATTGATATACACTCTTATGAAGCTTTCACCAGAAAAACAATGTGGTTATTACATTCACCTTTATTATCGAGTCCTCCCCCATACCCTATTGCAGTCACTGTCCATTAGTGTAGTAAGATGCCGCAGAGTCCCTATTTGTCTTCTCTGAGCTACACTGTCTTCTCCATGACCCCCCACACACCATGTGCACCAATCATGATACCCCACAATCCCCTTCTCCCTCCCTCACCCCTCCCCTTTGGTAACCACTAGTCCCTTGTTGGAGTCTATGAGTCTGCTGCTGTTTTGTTCATTCAGTTTTGCTTCGTCATTATACTCCACAAATGAGGGAAATCATTTGGTATTTGTCTTTCTCTGACTGACTTATTTCACTGAGCATAATACCCTCTAGCTCCATCTATGTTGTTGCAAATGGTAGGATTTGTTTCTTTCTTATGGCTGAATAGTATTCCATTGTATTTATGTACCACATCTCCTTTATCCGTTCATCTACTGATGGACACTTAGGTTGCTTCCATATGTTGGCTATTGTAAATAGTGCTACGATAAACATAGGGGTGCATCTGTCTTTTTCAAACTGGACTGCTGCATTCTTAGGGTAAATTCCTAGGAGTGGAATTCCCGAGTCTAATTGTATTTCTATTTTTAGTTTTTTGAGGAACCTCCATATTGCTTTCTACAATAGGTGAACTAATTTACATTCCCACCAGCAGTATAGGAAGGTTTCCCTTTCTCCGCATCCTTACTAGCATATGTTGTTCCTTGTCTTTTTGATGTTGGCCATCCTAACTGGTATGGTGATATCGCACTCTGGTTTTAATTTGCATTTCCCTGATAATTAGCAATGTGAAGCATCTTTTCATGTGCCTGTTGGCCATCTGAATTTCTTCTTTGGGGAAGTATCTCTTCATATCCTCCACCCATTTTTTAATAGGGTTATTTGCTTTTTGGGTGTTGAGGTATGTGAGTTCTTTATATATTTTAGGTGTTAACCCTTTGTTGATTATGTCATTTACAAATATATTCTCCCATACTGTAGAATGCCTTTTCGTTCTGCTATTGGTTTCCTTTGCTGTACAAGCTTTTTAGCTTGATGTAGTCCCATTTGTTCACTTTTGATTTTGTTTCCCTTGCCTGAGGAGATGCATTCAGGAAAATTTGCTCATGTTTATATTCAAGAGACTTTTGCCTACCAAAGCATTTTTGTTTATTAGCTCTGAGTAGGAGCAGTGCATTTGAGGGCACGTTTTCATTTGTCCTTATAATCAGGAGATCTTCCTCTTTGGTCCCCACAGGCCTCAGGGGAGCAATGGCATTTGCACTGGCCATCCGAGACACGGCATCCTACGCTCGCCAGATGATGTTCACAACCACCCTCCTCATTGTCTTCTTCACTGTCTGGATCATTGGTGGAGGCACAACGCCTATGCTGTCATGGCTTAATATAAGGTCAGTTGGAAGCTAGGGCCAGTTTCATGCCTGACTCTGTTGCTGTGCCTGTGCAGTGTGTGCTGCAGCTTAGTACATGTGAGGGCCTTACAGGGTTGGGTTTTCTTTTGGGGGAGGGACTAAAAAAAATAGTTGAATTCAGAGCATTAATTTTCAGCCAGAAAAAAATGGGCTTAAAATTTTTGTCGGCCCCAAAACGTGAGGAATTAGAAACACCTGGCCCTGGCTGGAACAGTGGCATTAGGGCAAGAATTCAAAAAAAAAAAAAATCTTAAACCTGCAGGAAGGAGAATAGACAGTGCCTGGCAACCCCTGGCATTTCACATTCCTTTGAAACCAAACATGTGACCTTAAAAATCAGCTCATCAGCCAGAAGTAAAAAGAGGCTATTTGAGTTTTGTTTTAGGAAGAAACTGTAACTGTGTTTCTTCTTGCTTGAGTGCACAAAAGAGGTGACATTTCCTGTATAACTGTCATTTGTGGCAGCCTCCTGGACGTTCCCTGCCTGTGGTTTTGCAGCTGTGTCAGGATGTGGGGGGTTGCTGACCTGAGTTTGATTTTTCTAAGAGCATTTAAATTCCAAACTGTGCTTGTGACCTCCAGCTCATTTTGGTAAAGAGGACCTTGGAACAGAGGTCAAGAGACTCACTGCCTAACTGGCTCTGGTTTAAGGCAAGCCCCTCCCATCTTTGGGCCTCAGTTTTCCTTAATGTTAAATGAAATCATGCTGGCAAATGTCCTCCAGGGCCCTTCTGCTCTAAGTGGCACCCTACATCTTTGGAGGTGGCTCAGTTTTGGATCTGCAGAGGGTGAATGTGATAGGAAGAAGACACTTGGCTGGTGCAGAGGTGTGAAGAATTCTCTGAAAAGCCCCCAGGTGGCAATGTTTGCTTCTTTCTTTGCTGGCTTTTACTTATATTCCCTTCTCTAGAATATAGGGTGCACAGGACTGACAGCCACAGAGCATACTGAGCTTGGAGGAGAGATAACTTGTAATGATCTTATAGTCATCCTTGGGGTCAGGGAGAAAACTGAAATTTGAGAAAATAGTCTGCCCCATCAGAGATGTTAGTGTTGATGGCAGGCAGTGATTCCTGGGCTTGGCCACTGTCAGCTGCATCATTTCTGGACAAGCATGTCTCAGCCTCAGATCCAGGTGGATCTGCAGAACCTATGTGGGGCTTATCAGTGACAGTTAAATAATAGCTATGCTCATGCTGCCAACATTGTTCAAGATACCATGAGTACATTAAGATAATCTTCATAATATTCCTATGAAAGACTTACTACTATTATCTCCATTTTAGAGTTGGCAGAATTGAAGCACAGAGCAATAACTTGCCCACGGTCAAATAAAATCTCTGGGATTTTCAATGGGATTGGCTTAAACCTGTGTATTAATTTGGGAAGAGTTGACATATTTGCTCTGATGAGTCTTCCTAATCCATGGACATAGAATGGTTCTCATTTATTTAGATCTTCTTTAATTTCTTTCATCAGTATTTTATAGTTTGCAGCATACAGTGCCTATACATGTTCTGTTAGATTTATATCTAAGTATTTCTTATTCTGTTTTGAGCAATTGTAAGTGTTATTCTATCTTTAATTTCAGTTTCTATGTGTTCATTGCTAGGATATAGAAATACAACTGGTTTTTGTGTGTTGATCAGTATCCTGCAACATTACCCAACTTATTAGTTCTAGGAGGATTTGTTTTTGTTTCTTGGGGGTTTTTTTTAGATTCTTTGGGATTTTCTATAGAGACCATGATGTCATTTGCAGATAGACATAGTTTTATTTCTTCCCTTCCAACCAGTGTGCCTTTTATTTCCTTTTATCAACTTATTGCTCTGACTAGGACTTTCAGTACCATGTTGAATAAGAGTGGTATGAGTGGACATCTTTGTCTTGTTCCCCATCTTCAGGAGAAGGCATTCAGTCTTTTACCAATAAGTATGATGTTTTCTGTAGGGTTTTATAGATGTTCATCATCAAGTTGAGAAAACTTCTATTGCTAGTTTTCTGAAAATTTTTATCATTAACAAATGTTGAATTTTATCAAATACTTTTTATGTTATCAATTGATTGGAACATATGATTTTTCTGGTTTAGTCTGTTAACATGATGGGTTACATTGATTAATTTTAAAATATTGAACCAGCTTTGCCTCTCTAAAATAAATCCCATTTGGTTATGGTGTGTAAATTTTTTACATATTCCTGAATTCTATTATCTAATATTTTGTTAAAGGTTTTTGTGTCTATATTCATAAAGGATATTGGCATATAGTTTTCTTTTTTAGTATAGCCTTTTTTTTGAAATCAGTGTAATCTGGCCTTATAAAATGAATTGGGACATATTCCCTACTCTTCTGTTTTCTGGAAGAGACTGTTTATAATTGGTGTTAGTTCTTCTTAAAAGTCTTGTGGAATTCTTCAGTAAAGCCATCTGGTCCTGGAGACTTCTTTTTAGAGGTTTTTAAATTATGAAGCTAATTGTTTTAATAAATTACAGGGCTATTAAGATGATGTATTTTGTATTGGGTGAGTTGTGGTAGTTTGTGTATTTGGTTCATTTTATCTGAGATTTCATCTTTGTGTTGATCATAGCATAACCTTGTTACTCTTTTGATGTCTGTGAGAGGTATCGTGATATCCCCTGTTTAATTCCTGATACTGGTAATTAGCATCTTCTTTTTTTTGCTTTTAGTCTTGCAAGAGGTTACATCAATTTTATTGGTCTTTTCAAAGAACTAGCTTTTCTATTTCATTGATTTTCTGTATTGTTTTTCTGTTTTTGGTTTCACTGATTTCTGTTCCTACCTTTACTATTCCTTTCTTTCCGTCCAAGTCTACCCAGACAGCATAATGAAGCCAAGTGTGCCACTGGTGAAAAATACATATGGTGTCAGTTCTTTGCATTTTCCCGATGTGTATAAATAGTGATTAGGTAAGCATACAAACTGACATTTACAGAGATTACATCAAAAGAAATTCCCTCAGCAACGAGAGACTGATTAGTTTTTCTGGTCTGTGGCTTGTGTCGTCATTTAATGGCCACAAATCATTCATTTGATCCAGGTTCTTATTCTAAATTGATTCAGAAACCCCCTGAAATTAAGTGTGGTGTTTTGATCTCTGTGACCTCAGTAACACCAATACCTACTTATTCCTTACTTCTGTAGACTGCTGACAGTGGCTGCTCAGAAGTCAGAAGCTCGGAGTAGGACTTGGATGTCCACCATAAATAATTAGGAGTTAACTGATGTTTAACCATAGCTAATTTATAATTGTGTATAAAATAAAACTGAATATAACCCAAACTCCAAAACCAGGTCACTGCTTTCCAGAAATCCAATTTATCTTTTTAAGTTGGTATTTTATGATTGATATTTAAAACATATTGGCAAAATGCTCAAATTGTTTTCTGTTAATGCACAAAGTACATAATATTTTTCTTAGTTTCTCAAGCAAATGCTATTCACAGAATAGAGTTTTGGCAACTTAAAAAAATGATCACAGGATTATTTCAGCAGATGAACCTTGTACGTGACCTGAGCACATTTTGGCAGCATGGTGGTTGTCCTTTTGGAGGCCCCAGCTTCAAGTGACCCACACAGGACATGGTTGGTGGTGATGATAGGGGGTGGAATGGCACACACCGGGTAGCCAGCTGAATGGGAAACGTCCACACCCCAGAGCCTGGTAATATAATCACTCAAGGACAAATAAGGACACTTGATATAATCCTGTTAGACTGAGACTTTATGATAAAGCTTTTTATAAGATTACTTAAGGAATAAAGGCATGGAGAAGTCCTGAGTCCTTTATATAATAGCATTTGTTACTGGATATTTTAAAAGAGTTTAAGGATACCCCTGTGTAATCAAAGGCAGCATCCTGTAAGGTGAAGAGCTGGGGCTCTGGGGTCTAATAGCCTCAGTTACAACCTTGGTTCTACCATTCTTCTTCCTTTGTGACCGTGGGCAACTTCTTTAGCTTCTCTGACTCCCAGTTTCCTCACCGGTTAGATGGGAACAAGAGTAGTGGGAGGCAAAAATGTGGCAATAAATAAACATGAGAAAGGATTATCTCATTAAATGTGCCATCTGGCACATGGTAAACATTTAGTGTATTTTAGCTATTATATTATCATTACTAATCATAGCATTAGTACTGCTACTATTACAGAATTATTATTATTACTAGTGAATCTTACATTAATGGTATCCAGCTTGCTTTCCTGGAATTTGTTATAATTTTTCAATACTATAGTATCATATAGAGTCTGGTTTAAGTCACATTCTGAATGTGTGACTAATTAAAAGTGCCATATTAAGAAGCATCATATTCTCACTCATTTTGGGGGATATTATTAGCATCAGAATTTAGGCATTATCTAGCATAGTATTTCTCAACCTGTTTTTCATTATTACCCCACTAAGGAGCCTTTAAAAATGTTTTTTTCCCCCAATTATCTCTCCCAGTGAAATTTTAATACCACAGATCTACTATATGTTTATGTACTATGGTGCTTTGGAGGGCCACAAACCATTGTCATACCTAAACTTTTTCTGACCCACAAGAACCAATTTTCCTACCCATGGGGGCAATATCATACCTCAGTGAGAATACATGATCTAGTGCTGTGGTTCTCAACCTAGGACAGTTCTGTCCCCCAGGGGATATTTGGCAATGTCTGGAGACATTTTTGGTTGCCTCAACTGGCTCAGAGAGTCTACTGGTATTTTGTAGGTAGAGGCCAAGGCCCCATATACCAATAGTGCCAAGGTTGTGAAACCCTGTTCTTAGTATGATGGTGAAGTTCAAATGCACTCTGAAAAACCCAGCAACTATTAAGGAAGGCAAAAATGGACCGTGTCAACTCTAAGGCCACAAGGTAAAAAAAATAGCAGAAGTTGAACCTATGGACAATGTTTTTCTTGTCTAGAAAAAAAGGCCATATTTATCTTCATAACTACTGTTGCTGTTTTCAATAATGTAGTGCTTTTTGCTCTGTCAAATGTGTAAACACTTCAAATATATGTCTGGTGACAACTTTCTGTTTTTTTTGGCTGGATATATCTTGCTTTTATGAAACAGATAAATTCCTGAAAAATTGTAAAAATTCATTTTCTGTGAGTTGCATTTATTCCTCTGATTTCATTACATTATATTTTGGGAGGCTTATCTTCATTCCTAATTGATCCTCATTTGACCTGGCTCCTAACATTGTTGCTTTAAATTGAGATTTAGCAGCCTCTCTGCTTCTCTGGGTATTAGAGAATGGGGACAGTTTAAGAGATGTTACAGACTTATATTCGAAGTGAGATGGCCTATTCTTTGATGGACGTGGTCTAGAGCTCCTGGCTCTCCTGTTGTCCCCATCACACTCACGTTCCCTTCTTCTGCTGCTCAGAGTTGGAGTCGGGGAGCCCTCTGAAGAGGACCTGAACAAACACCGCTGGCTTTACTTCAGGTGACATGAGGCCATCCTCAGAAACCAATTAACCGGGCCTGGCTTTTCTCCTCTTTCTAACCTGAGATGTTTCTCTTTGTGCTGTTTGTCTCTTTCTGCCTTCCTATGTGCACAAATCCTCTACCCCTTCTAGCAAAGGAGCGAGAGGTCAGGGTCAAGTCTAAGCATTTTCCAGCCACTTTCTGGGCTGATGGACGTGTCAGTGTTCCTGAGGTTCTGTCCCTATTCCTCGCATCTTGGATACTGTGTCAGCACCAAAGCCGGAGTTGGCAAGTGTCTCCCTTCTTATACAGCTAAGCTTAGTGTTAAAAGCAACCCATTTCCAGAGCCACAGATATTTTTTCCACAAAATCCTGCATATGATCTAGTAAACAAAGCTTTTAACTCATAAAAAGAACTATAATTTTACATTTCAGCCATGATGGGGTATAGCTCACAGCATTAATTAAGCACCCATGCTGTTTTAGTTTTTTTGTACGTATTTGTATATGTGTACCTTATCGTGGTGTATCAGAAGATACAAAAATCAGATTCTTTTTAAACTAGAAGGTATCAAAGACTTTTCTAATGCAAATTGTTTCTCAGTATCCATCCAAGTTTATGATTTGATTATGCCTCTGAGTGGCAATGTTGGGCAATCAGAGTAAAGACTTTAATGTTTCTTCTTTCCTTTCTGTAGTTCTAATTGGCAAACTTTCTTTCTGATCTGATTCTCAGTGCTGGGAGATAAATCAAATGCAAAATAGGCTTGACTCTCTTCTTGGCATTGTAAAGATATTCACTCTCTGAGGACAGTGGTAAAAACAGTGCTACCTGTCATGAGGCATGGATCTTTAGATATCACCAGACTCTGGATATATACTGTAATGCCATGCATGTGATTAATTGAAGCATTTGAGTTGTCAGGTTCACACTTTTTTCTTCTACTGTTTAAACACACACAGGCTTATTACATTAGTTCATTTTGAAGACCCAAATTTAAGTACAAGTGAAGTTGCAGAGGATACCCTTTCCTTTGAAGTATCCTCCCTTCAGGAAGGAAGGTCCTTCAGGCAAAGTGTAAATTATCACACTTGAGACATGAGAAAATTCAGATTCTGAACTAGTGTTCAAGGTTTTATATGCAGGTGTGTGTCTCATATTCCTCAAATTATTTAGGACTCAGGTACTCAAATTTTTAAAAACTTGATGATTAAAGTAGAACAGTTCCAAAATTTGTGAGATTTCGTGGCACTTTATATGGTGGTTAATCAAAACGTACATATACCAAAAGGGAAATCATTCATTTTCTTTCTGTATTTATTCATTCCAGAATGGGCACATCAATCTGATCACTTTATTTTCTCATTTAGTGTGATATTTCCACATTTATCTCATTCCTAATGAAAATAAGGATAATTTAGTTCATTCTGGAAGAAAAGACTGTTGTATGTGCTCTGATGAGCAGAACCCTAAGGCATCAGGGGAATGCTAAAATGTGATGTATCAAAACTGTGTAAAAACTTGCAGCTTTATACTAGATCAAAAGCATTATAGCAGATCAGAAGAGAAATACATATTGTGGACAGTTGCCTGAAACTAGGAATTTCAGAAATTAAGGGGAACCCGAGTCTTCTGAGGCATTATAGTTAAAATACTGTACCTGATCGTTATTTTCTTTTTTTTAAAAATTGAATTAATTACAATTTTATATGCTTCTCAGTATTCCAGGTAATTGATGCCTTCTTTTTTTTTTTTTGAGGAACATTGTGTTTACTAGACTCCAACTATTACCAAGTCCCCCCCCACAAACCCCATTACAGTCACTGTCCATCAGCGTAGTAAGATGCTGTAGAATGACTACTTGTCTTCTCTGTGTTGCACAGCCCTCCCCATAGCCCCCCACATTATACATGCTAGTCGTAATGCCCCCCTTTCTTTTTCCCCACCCGTATCCCTCCCTTCCCACCCATCCTCCCCAGTCCCTTTCCCTTTGGTAACTGTTAGTCCATTCGTGGGTTCTGTGATTCTGCTGCTGTTTTGTTCCTTCAGTTTTTCTTTGTTCTTATACGCCACATATGAGTGAAATAATTTGGTACTTGTCTTTCTCTGCCTGCCTTATTTCACTGAGCATAATACCCTCTAGCTCCATCCATGTTGTTGCAAATGGTAGGATTTGTTTTCTTCTTATGGCTGAATAATATTCCATTGTATATATGTACCACATCTTCTTTATCAGTTCATCTACTGATGGACATTTAGGTTGCTTCCATTTCTTTGCTATTGTAAACAGTGCTGTGATAAACATAGGGGTATTTTTCAAACTGGGATGCTGCATTCCTAGGGTAAATTCCTAGAAGTGGAATTCCTAGGTCAAATGGTATTTCTATTTTGAGCTATTTGAGGAACCTCCATATTCCTTTCCACAATGGTTGATCTAATATACATTCCCACCAGCAATGTAGGAGGGTTCCCCTTTCAACACAACCTCGCCAACATTTGTTGTTGTTTGTCTTTTGGATGGTGGGGATCCTTACTGGTGTCAGGTGATATCTCATTGTGGTTTTAATTTGCATTTCTCTGATGACAAGTGATGTGGAGCATCTTTTCATGTGCCTGTTGGCCATCTGAATTTCTTCTTTAGAGAACTGTCTGTTCAGCTCCTCTGACCATTTTTTAATTGGATTTTTTGCTTTTTATTTGTTGAGGTGCATGAGCTCTTTATATATTTTGGATGGCAACCCTTTATCGGATCTGTCATTCATGAATATATTCTCCCATACTGTAGGATGCCTTTTTGTTCTATTGATGGTGTCCTTTGCTGTACACAAGCTTTTCAGCTTAATATAGTCCTACTTGTTCATTTATGCCCTTGTTTCGCTTGCCCGGGGAGATATGTTCATGAAGAAGTCGCTCATGTTTATGTCCAAGATATTTTTGCCTGTGTTTTTTTTTCTAAGAGTTTTATAGTTTCATGACTTACATTCAGGTCTTTGATCCATTTTGAATTTATTTTTGTGTATGGGGAGAGACAGTGGTCCAGTTTCATTCTCTTACATGTAGCTGTCCAGTTTTGCCAGCACCAACTGTTTAAGAGGCTGTCATTACCCCATTGTATGTCCATGGCTCCTTTATCATATATTAATTGACCATATATGTTTGGATTAATGTCTGGTGTCTCTATTCTGTTCCACTGGTCTGTGGCTCTGTTCTTGTGACAGTACCAAATTGTCTTGATTACTGTGGCATTGTACTAGGGCTTGAAGTTGGGGAGTGAGATCCCCTCCTACTTTATTCTTCCTTCTCAGGGTTGCTTTAGCTATTCGGGGTCTTTGGTGTTTCCACATGAATTTTTGAACTATTTCTTCCAGTTTGTTGAAGAATGCTTTTGGTAATTTGATAGGGATTGCATCAAATCTGTATATTGCTTTGGGCAGGATGGCCATTTTGATGATATTAATTTTTCCTAGCCAAGAGCAAGGGATGAGTTTCCATTTGTTAGTGTCCTCTTTAATTTCTCTTAAAAGTGTCTTATAGTTTTCAGGGTATAGGTCTTTCACTTCTGTGGTTAGGTTTTTTCCTAGGTATTTTATTCTTTTTGCTGCAATTGTAAATGGAATTGTTTTCCTGATTTCTCTTTCTATTAGTTCATTGTTAGTGTATAGGAAAGCCACAGATTTCTGTGTGTTAATTTTGTATCCTGCAACTTTGCTGTATTCCAACAGTTCTAGTAGTTTTGGAGTGGAGTCTTTAGAGGTTTTTATGTATAATATCATGTCATCTGCAAATAGTGACAGTTTGACTTCTTCTTTACCAGCATGGATCCCATCTGTTTCTTTGTTTTGTCTAATTGCTGTGGCTAGGACCTCCAGTTCTATGTTGAATAACAGTGGGGAGAGTGGGCATCCCTGTCTTTTTCTCAATCTTAGAGAAAAAGCTTTCAGCTTCTTGCTGTTTAGTATGATGTTGGCTGTGGGTTTATCATATATGGCCTTTATTATGTTGAGGTACTTGCCTTCTATACCCATTTTATTGAGAGTTTTTATCATGAATGGATGTCGAATTTTGTCGACTGCTTTTTCTGCATCTATGGAGATGATCATGTGGTTTTTGTTCTTCTTTCTGCTTATGTGGTGGATGATGTTGATGGATTTTTGAATGTTGTACCATCCTTGCATTCCTGGGATGAATCGCACTTGGTTGTGGTGTATGATCCTCTTGATGTATTTTTGAATTCGATTTGCTAGTTTATTGTTGAGTATTTTTGCATCTATGTTCATCAGAGATATTGGTCTGTAATTTTCTTTTTTGGTTGGGTTTTGCCTGGTTTTGGTATTAGGGTGATGTTGGCTTCATAGAATGAGTTTCGGAGTATTCCCTCCTCTTCTTTTTTTTGGAAAACTTTAAGGAGTATGGGTATTATGTCTTCTCTGTATGTCTGATAAAATTCTGAGGTAAATCCATCTAGCCCGGGGTTATGTTCTTGGGTAGTTTTTTGATTACCTGTTCAATTTCTTTGCTGTTAATTGGTCTGTTTAGTTTTTCTGTTTTTTCCTTGGTCAGTCTTGGAAGGTTGTATTTTTCTAGGAAGTTGTCCATTTCTTCTAGGTTTTCCAGCTTGTTAGCATATAGGTTTTCATAATAGTCTCTAATTATTCTTTGTTTTTCTGTTCGGTCCGTTCTGAGGTTTCGTTTCTTGTTTCTGATTCTGTTGATGTGTGTTGATTCACTTTTTCTCTTAATAAGTCTGGCTAGAGACTTATCTATTTCATTTATTTTCTCAAGGAAACAGCTCTTGGTTTCATTGATTTTTGCTATTGTTTTATTCTTCTCAATTTTACTTATTTCTTCTCTGATCTTTATTATGTCCCACCTTCTGCTGACCTTAGGCCTCATTTGTTCTTCTTTTTCCAATTTAGATAATTGTGACTTTATACTATTCACTTGGGATTGTTCTTCCTTTAAATATGCCTGGATTGTTATATACTTCCCTCTTAAGACTGCTTTCGCTGCGTCCCACA